CAAGTGAAATAATCAGATTGATTCTTTGTCTTTTTTTAATTGATCCTATTTACAATTAATTGATTTTTATCCTATAACTGTCTAAGTCATGATTCGTTGTCTCTGAACTTAATTAAGAAATTTAGCTGGCCTGTAATGAGTTAGGTTTAGAAATCCAGTTCTGTTAATCATTTTTCTATTCTTGTGTAAAAGAAATCTGTTACCCTTAAAGGATACAAGTGGACACCAAGGAGTCTGGTCTAGTATTTTTATACTACCAAGCTATCCTCCATGAATGTTTGATTTGTTACCCAAAGAAGTCTGGTTTGCTATCTCTGTCCTTGCAGATGCAGCTAGACTCAAACAATCAACATTTCTTAGTCACACGGGGGAAAAGAGGACTGTTGTTGCTAGCCTTCATTCCTAATTTCCATCCAATCATATTTTCTTCCATCTATGATGCTAGCCTTCCTATTTTCTATACTCCTCAAAACTATAAAAGAGAGCTGTCCCCCTCATTCAGGGTCTTAGTTTTGCTAGGGAAGCTGGAGTCCTATTTATTGGTAAATTCACACTTTACTAATAAATTAATCATGCTTAGAACTTTCTGCCTCAGTCTACCTTAATTTTACCTGTTACATAAGCAAGGGAATACATTATGTCCTAATGTTCCTGAAAGTCCCAGATAAAGGAAGCTAGAAAGAATATTGAGCTCCTCTTAACTTCTATTCTGCAAAGGTTGCCTCTAAAGCTGAAACTATTCAAATCTGGCCTCAGACACATAACACTTACTAGCTGTGTGACTTAACACAGTCACTTAACCCCAATTGTCTCACAAAAAAAAACAAAAAACAAAAAAAAAAACAAAACAGGGGACAATAAAGCTGAAACTACCAAAAGTGTAGTCTGGGGGTGCTAGACACAAATTTACTTGGGGCGGAGGAAGGATAGAAACAATCACAAGGATAGGACAAAAAGACCTGAAAGCAAAGTCCCACTCATTGTGGAAGTGCACATCCCCATCTCACCATGTTGACCTCTGCTAGTAGCAACCAACAAGACCTGGAAGAGCATGTTTCATCTAATTTGGGTTTGGGGAGGGTGAGATGGGGGCGAGGGTGGGGAAGGAGGTAGAAGCAGGACAAACAGGCAAAAGGGGCAGAAGAGAATCTACTCCTTTGGATCTGTGTACTGTATGGGGACTATTTGGGGAACAAGGTGAGAACATCCAGAGTTATTTGACATGTTTAAAAGATTGGCTAAGTATTGACAAACAGAGACATCTTTTAGGCAAGGACTTGTTATACCACATAAGTAAGAATGCTATCTCTTATCAGGCTGGTTAATCAGAAGAATGCCACAGGCATACTGGATCTTGATTTCAATAAAGAACTTCTCAAGTTCACCATAGTATATTTGCAAGGGTGCTGGCTTCAGAGTCAGAGGACCAGAGTTTGAATCCTGGTTTTGCTACTTGCTACATGTAACGCCACTCTGGGACTTGGTTTCCACATCTGTAAAATGAGAGGCTAAATCTAGAGGAATGAAAGGAGGATCTCAACCCAACAGAATGGAGGGGGTCCAAATGACAATACCCTCATGGGGGATGAGGTGTGTGTATGTACGTATGTATGTATGTATACATATATAACACACACACCTGGGTTGGGAGATGGGAATCTCATGATGAGTTTATTCTTTGAGGAGTTGATGCATTGGGAGATTAATTTCTCTGAGATGGTCTTTATCCTTTAAATTTCCTTCTAGCTCCGAATCTTAGGATCCTATAAAGTCTCTCGTAATATCTTTATGGGCAAGATGGAGAAATAGTAGATAGATGACTGTATGATTAAGTGGACTCATAGCTGGTTGATGAATAATTGTATACACCAGGAATGATATCTCCAGTGAAGTGCCTCTGGGTTCTGCCATTGACACTGACTGTCTCATTCAACCTTTTTAGTAATGACTTGAAGGTAAATGAGACATACTTCTGAAATTTACAAATGGCCCACAGCAGAATCCTTCAAAGCACAAGTTCTTAAACAAGATCTTCACTTATGCCCCTCTATCCACTATGATGGATCTCACTCTCTCTCATTTGTATATGCTTGTATTTATTTACTCAGCTAACTGCAACAAGACAGGCACACATCACAGATACAAAAACCACACACATAAACACATATAGCACACTACACACACTACACTCACATATACAGACACACACAACACCAACCCCACACACAAATACACATACTATACACAAACACATCAAGGAGAAGATAAGCTCTCTGAGGATATGAACAACTCATTTTTGTATTTGTATCCCGCAGAGCCTTGCACTTTGTTGTTTGAAGGAACCTGAAAAGCCTAACAGGCCAAACCTCTCTTTTTATACTTTGGCAAACTAAGCTCCAGAGGCTAAAATATTTGCCCAAGGTCATCCAAGTTAAGTAAGTACTGGGGCCAAGTTTTGAACCCAGGTCTTCTAACACCAAAGCCACTGCTCTTTCCACTGGTCCTTTAGACAGAATAGTTGGCCTCCCTAAAAGAAAGGACATTAGTGGAGTTTCCTACCCTATGTACCTTGAAAGATGTTGTGAAGGTCAAATCAGAATGTATGTAAAAAAGCTTGGCAAATTTTAAACTGTTAAAAAAAGGGGGGGGGATTATTAGTATTAAACTGATAGAGTCATAGAATAGTAGGCTCTGAGTTGGAAGGGACTTTGAAGGCCTCCCAGACAATGCAAGATTGTTAGGGTTTTTTTTTACAGCATTCCCTATAGACTAGGAAAGGCGAGAATAATAAGCATTTACATAGTGCCTATATATAAATATATATTGCCAGGTACTTATTGTACTTAGACACACATCCCTTTAAAATTAAATCCTCACAACAATGCTGGAAAGTGGGTGCCATCATTATCCTCATTTTATAGTTGAGGCAAACAGAGGTTAAATGACTAGTCCAGGGTCACACAGCAAATAAACATCTAAAGTAGGATTAGAACTTGGGCCTTCCTGAATCCTGGACCATCACTCTATCCACTATACCACCAGCTACCTAGTGATTGGTGATTATACTATCCCATTCCCTAGATTATTCTAGTGCTGGACAGCAGTTGTGGAAGGCTCTTCCTTATTTAAGGATTGAAATCCCCAGAATTCTCAACTGAATTAATCAATCAGAGGTATGAACCAGCTGTAAACAAAACATAGCCCTCTCCATTGGATCAATCAAGCAATCAATCAACCAACCAAAGGCTTTTCAATTAGATACAGCAAGAAGTGTATTAGGATTGACAGGAAAAAAAGATCTACATGGTTTGTATAAAATAGCAAATCACTCTGGATTCCCATCCCAGTGTCTGGCCAGCAAGCCTCTTTGAGGAAATCACTTAGGGAAGAGCACCTCTATCTTTCCTCCCTCCCCCTTAACCACAGCATGACCGTGTCAACTTCAGAGGGTTCTAGGAATTGGAATGCTCATTCGTGTCCCAGCAGCATCTCCTGGAACAGCATGCATGATGGCAGAGACAGCAATGACTGATGGTGGTATGATTATCAGGATATGAGGACAAACTAGATAACCTGAGGAAAGATAGCTTCAGGAGTCTGCAAAAAGCGCAGAAGACAGCTACAGCTTACCGAAAAAAAATAACCGTTCTGAATAATCCAGCAAGCTCTGAGTTACTCCTTTGCCACATATGCTCTAAGCTCAAGTCCATTTTCCCTTGGATTACAGAAGGAAGCACACTGGTGAGGGGATTCATGAACTAGAAAACTACTCTTTTATTTCCTGTGGGTCCTCTAGAGCTCTGAGAGGGGTACAGTGTCCTTGGGGAGTCTTCATTGTTATAGGGGATTTGGGGGTGGTAAGGAGGGAATAAACATTCACACCAGAAATTCCTAAACTCTTGGGTATCACAGATTTCTTTGGCAGTCTGATAAAGTCTTATGAACCCCTTTGCAGAGTGTTTTTAAAGGCATAATAAACAAATACATAGGTTTACAGAAGAAAACTATGCTGAAAAACAGTTACCAAAATATCTTTTAAAAACAAGTTATTGGGAGGCATCTAGATGGCACAGTGGATAAAGCACTGGCCCTAAAGTCAGGAGGACCTGAGTTCCAATCTGGCCTCAGACCAAACACTTATACTTACTAGCTGTGTGACCCTGGGCAAGTCACTTAACCCCAATTGCCCCCCCAAAAAAACCAAACCCAAAACCAAAAACCCAAGTTATTGAACACCAGGTTAAAAACTCCTGATTTACAGAGATAAATAAATATAATGCAATTAGACCTCAGACCTCAGGTGCCAACTCCTACAAGAAGCCCTATGTTGGCAAGGATCTTTTCCTTCCAGGACCTCATAAGGTACTTGGCTGTTCACCTCATGTCTGCATTTATCTCCTATTTTGTGTAAGCTATCTCCTAATCCATTGCAAGCTCCCAGAGGACAGGAAACACTCAACTACACTTTGCACCTCCTCCATTGCTCTATACTGAGTAGATACTAACAAATGTTTGCTGAATTGAATCAGTTGGTTGCTGAAATTCAACAAACTCTCTCTCTATGCCATACAACTCAATCAAAACCTCACTGTTATTGTTGTTGTTCAGTCATTTCAGTGTGTCTGTTTGACTCTTCATGACCCATTTGGGTTTTGCTTGGCAAAAATACTGCAGTGATTTGCCATTTCCTTCTCCAGTTCATTTTACAGATGTGGAACTGAGGCAAGCAGGGTGAAGTGACTTGCCCAAGGTCACACAGCTACTAAGTGTCTGAGGCCATATTTGAACTTGAGTCTTCCTCCTGACTCCAGGCCTGACATTCTATCCATTGTGCCACCTATCTGTCCTAGCTGCCCCAATCAAACCCTGCCCTGGACCAATGAACTCATTCTTTCACGTTCAATATTTCAAAACAAAACGTTTTCTTCATGGAACCCCCTGCCACACTACCCTCCTTTCCATTTTCCCTTCCCATGCTCAGTAGCAGCAGAGTTCCTCACCCTCTGGGATCTGGGCTTCAGTGACACCGCCCTCCTCCTGCTTCAGTTCATCGTTCTGCTTCATGCTCTCCACCTCCAACCAAAAGTCATCCAATGAGAGGCTCTCTATGGAGGGGAGCCAGGAGTTTGGATCCTCCAGGGGCTGACAGTGGGAAGAGTTCTTTGCTGGAAACTGGCTCATGCTGCATGGGAAAGTGGGATTTCTGCAAAGAAAAGTAAAAACCAGTCAATAAGGATGCAGTTTTATAAGAAAAAATGTGAATGCTGAAAAGAAGAATCAGTCAAGAAGGTACACTAAAGCAAACAGGGCATTGTTGTTTTTAATTTTTGTTTAAGTTTAGCATTTGAAAATTCTTAAATGTTAAAGATTCTGTTTTATTAGATCACAATAATAACTACCACATATAAACTGCTGTGAAATTTGCAAAATGTTTTACATACATTTTCTTATTTAAGCCTCACGACAACCCTGTGAGGTAGGTATCTCAGGCATTTTTTTTAAACAAATGAAGACAATGTAGCTCAAAGGGGAAATGTGACTTGCCCAGCGCCACACAGATTGTATCAGAGGCAGGATCTGACTCCAAGTTCACATTCTCTCCTGCCTGTCTAACTCTGATACCTCCAAACTAAACCAAGGTGTGAAAAAGAAAGATTATCAATGATATCTCAATTTGCCAGAAACACCGCCTTCCATGGCCATGCAAGTGACACAAAGGATAATGTTGGACTTGGAGTCAGAAAGACCTCAGTTCATATCTACCTCTGACACTTACTAGCTGTGTGGCCCTGGGCAAGTCACTTCATTTCCCTCAGCCTCAATTTTCACATCTTTAAAATGTGTTATAATAATAACCAAAGACATCTAGGTGGCATAGTGGATAGAGTACTGGGACTGGAGTCAGGAAGACCTGAGCTCAATCTAGCCTCAGACACTTACTAGTGTGTGACCCTGGGCAAGTCATATAATCCTGTTTGCCTCAGTTTCCTCATCTGTAAAATGAGGTGGAAAAGGAAATGGCAAACCACTCCAGTATCTTTGCCAAGAAAACCCCAAATGGGGTCACGAAGAGTCAGACACAACTGAAACAAATTAACTACAAATAATAACAATAACACTTATGTCAACTATAATAAAGTGCTACTTAAAAAGTTCAGATTTGAGAGAAATCAAGACTGGCCAGGGTGTCAAACTAAAATAATATCAAGAATTTTAATTTTAAAAAAATTTGTAATACCAATACTATCTCCTCTTTTATTGCTCCCTTTCTTCCAATGCAACCTCTTATGATTACCTTGTTATCCTGGGCATTGTTTATGTTTATTGACTTTGCTGCTCAACTTAAAAGAGTTTGTGGTGGAAGAGAGGAAAGCTAAGCACAGTCTGACATGCACCCTAAGTTTTAAGAATGAAGATTTCAAAAACTTCAGAGAAAGGACAAGTAGGATCCCATGAATTCAAATTCTATAGGGGAGTCAGCAAAAGAAAAATAGGAAGCTCTCAAGAATGAAAATTTTGAAAACCCAAAGAGAAACAATTCCAGTGAGGAGGAAAAAGGGGGAGACAGATGATGCAAGGAGTATCTAGGTACAACTAGGTGGCACAGTGGATAGAGTGCTGGGTCTGGAGTCAGGAAGACTCATTTTCCTAAGTCCAAATCAGGCCTCAGACACTTACTAGCTGTGGACCCTGGGCAAGTCACATAACCCTGTTTGCCTTAGTATCCTCATCTGTAAAATGAGCTGGAGAAGGGAATGGCAAACCAATCCAGTATCTTTGCCAAGAAAACTCCAAAAGGGGTCATGAAGAGTCAGATATGACTAATCAACTAAACAGTAACAAAAGGGAGCTCATTGACCATTGGAGATCTTAAAAGGAAACGTACAGAAGATGGACTTAAGATCATGTAACAGAAGATGAATACTTAAGTATAACAGCCATTAAAGAATAATGTAAGAACTCAATGACTGGAATGGATTCAGAAGCTGAGGACAACCAGAAAGAAAATTTTTAGCTATGTTGTGGGAAAAGGGAGCATCAGAGCAAGGATAGGACTACTTTGGGGACAGCTAGGATGAATGAGAAAAAGGAAAGCTTCTCAATTCTCATTGTCTTTATTTCTTTGTCAAGGTGAATAAACTTTGAATTGAAAAAGTGAGGAAGAAAAAAAAGGGAGCAAGGATTTGAAATCCAAGATAAGCAAGGAGATACTAAGAAAGCATCTAGCTGCCTTCAATGAATTTCAATCCCCAGGGAATGATAAACTACAGCCTAGGGTACTGAAAGAACCAGAGCATGTGATTCAGGTGAGCTACTGTTCATCACCTCTAACAGATCATCACAAACAGGAATAATTTTTCCAAGGGATTGGAAAAGGACAAACACTGCTCTGATTTTCAAAAAAGGAAACTGAGTCTGAACTTCAATTCCTGGCATGATTCTGTAACATATAATTAAGGTATGCCTTGTGAACATCTAGAAAGAGAAACTCTGATCACTGAAAGTCAGCATGACTTCCAAAAACAGGTTGTGCCAGACTAACCTCATTTCCTTTTTTGACGGGATTACCAGACTGGTAGATCAGCATAATACCACAGACATAGTTTACCAAGACTTCAGTCAAGCACTCAACAGAGTTTCTCATGCTATCTTTGTGGACATATGGAGTAATCAGCATACCTAGGTTATTTCAGAAATGGTTGAATTCAGAACTAGATCCAAAGAGCCATCATTAATTAAAAAAAAAAAAAAAAGCTTGATGTCATTTTGAAGAAAGGTCTTTAGTGGACTGCTTCAGAGGTCAGTATTTGGTTCTGTTCACCATTTTTCATCATTGATTTAGATCAAGGCATAGATGGCATATTTATCAAAGTTTCTGATGACTTGAAGTTGGAAGACATATGTTGGATGACCAGGCTGGAGTATAAAAAGATCCTGACCCAATGAACAAAAGTCTGTATCATAATACAAGGTGGTGGAGGCATGGTGAAACAGGGTTCATATGGAAAAGGGGTTGGGGTTTTTAGGAGATTTCCAATTCAATATCATTCAACAAGGTAATATGGAAGCCAAAGGTGCTAACATGATCTCAGGCTACACTGAAAGGCATAATATCCAGAATGAGGGAGTTGACAGTCCCATTGTTTTAAACCACAGTCAGAGGACTGATCATATCAGGATAATTCAGCTGAGTTCTATTCACATTTTATTTCATTTTCATTTCTATTCCATATTATCTTAATAAATTCTAATTTTTTGTCTTTGTATGAAAGTCATTTCCCACCCCTCTCCAGATTGAACCCACCTCCCCAGGACAAAAACCATAGCTGACAACATATACATTGTTCTGTCCCAGTAGTTCCTGCCCTTTTTCTGCCATAAGTGAGGAGATACACTTCATTTTTTCATCTCTAAAACTTTCATTGGTTTTTCATATACTCAGATTTCAACTTCTTTTTAGTGATCTTTTTCCATTTACATTGCTATAATCATTTTTATGTTGTTTTCCTGGTTCTGCTTCTCTCATATCGCATCAGTTCATACCAAAAAAACATGATTCTCTGAAGTTCTTATACTTGTCACTTGACTTCTGCATATCTGTCATTGCTACATTTTATAAAAGTCAAGCAGCAGCATTTTGTTGAGCAATGTTGAGTAAGTGGAAATCATAACATTCAAGGCTTGATTGAAGGAGCAGGATTAGGATAGGGGCTGGACCTCTGGTATCACTGTAAAGGCAGCTCCCAGAGGAGGAAGCACCCTCTACCAGTGCAGCTTACCACCACATTGCAGTTTATAGTCTCATAGAGTTGTCTAGAGTAGCACTGTCCAAGCTTTACTAATCATACACCTTTTCTTAATAAAAAATGTTTGAGCTCCCATTCTTAATAGGTGTATATTCATTTATAAATAAATTATGTACATGTGCTGAAGTATAAATAATTATATACATTATGAAACAAAATAGAAATTAAAAGGGGATAAACAAATATTTTAAATAAAATTTGATACTAGAGTCAATAGTGAGCTACTGGAGTTTACTGAGTAGAGAAGTGACATGGCCAGATCTGAGCTTTAGAAAATCATTTTGGTGGAGGAAAATCACAGCTGAGCAGAGGACAGATTGCAGTAGGGACAGGATATTTAAGGTGGGGAAACCAATTAGACCAATATACTTAGAATAGTAATGTAAGCAATGTTATACAGGTAGAAACAAGACCTGGCATTTAATTGGCCATGTGCAATGAGAGAAAATGAGAAGTCAAAGAAATCAGGCCACAACCCCCATTTTGGAGACCACTGGTCTAGGCGGTAAGAGGTCAAGTAACTTGATCATGGTCACACAACCATAATGTGTTGGAGGTGGGACTTGAACTCAAGTCTTCATGGTTCCTAGGCCAGCTTTCTACTCCATAACACCTCTTCAGTTAAGGGAACAGTAGATTTTTAACTTGGAGAAAAGAAGCCCTAGGGGGACAGGGCAGTTTTCTTCAGGTATCTAAGAGGCTAACACATAAAAGGGGGATCATAATTGTTTTGCAACCCCCTACAATAAGGAGCAATAGGTAGAAGTTGCAAAGAGGCAGACTTAGGCTTGAGGGAAGGAAAACTTTCTAAAATGATTAATGCTATTCAAGCTGAGAGGGAAGCTAGTGGTGCAATGGATAAAGTGCTGAGCCTGGAGTCAAGAAAACTTGAGTTCAAATCTGACCCCAGACACTTACTAGCTGGGTGACCCCGGGCAAGTCACTTCACCCTGTTTGCCTCACTTTCCTAATCTAATATAATGAGCTAGGGAAGGAAATGGCAAACCACTCCAGTATCTTTGCCAAGAAAACTCCAAATGGGGCCACAAAGAGTCAGTCATGACCAAAAATGACTGAACAACAAAAATTCAAGTCAAGTGTGCTGTCCCAGAAATAGTAGGTTCTCTCTCACTAGAGGTCTTAAAGCAAAGACTGAATGACCCTTTGTTGTGTATGTTATAGAGGAAATATTTGAGCAGATAGAGGTTGGACTAGAGAGCCTCTAAGGTCCCTTCTAACCTTTATACACTCAGATTCTGTGACTGGACTCAAGTTCCAGGAGCACACTTGTAAAGAAGCAAAGTGGTTCAGTAGACAGAGAGCCAGACCCAAACCCAGGCAGACTTTGTTCAGGTATCACCTAGTGACTTTTGGCAAATCACTTCACCTCTTCACA